ATCCAGTGCGTCGGTGTCGTGCCCCGGGATCTCGAGGACCTCTCGAGGAGCGGTGGGTGGGGATATTTGCCTACCCCAGCGAGCGGACAGTATCTACATCCATCGTAGGGCAGGTTTCCAGCAGCAGTGGATGCGGATGCTTCCTGGCGATGCGGAGACAGATGGAGACGAGGACCAGGGGGATGGGGGAGGGAAAACGAACGGCACAAGGGGGAAGCGGCGCAGCGGCAGCAGCAGCCCAGGCTATGCGGTGCAGCCACCCATTACGAGCAGCCGCCCTGCCAGTACGATGAGGTGCAGGGTGAGGTGCAGGGTGCTGCCGGGCACGCCCCCGCGCGGGCGCAAGGAAGGAGAGGAGCGGCGGATGAGGGGGGGGGGGGAAGGCATGTTTGCCAGCGGATGCGAAAAGAGGAGGAGCAGGAGGAGGAGGAGGAGGCACAGGCGAAGGAGGATGAGGAGGAGGAGGACTGTCTTGGCCCCCCTTTGTTTCTTGCCCCCTTTCCAATCCCCTGCGTGAGCGATACGGCTCAAAAAAGCGCTGACATCTGCCAGCGATCAGGCAGTCAGCGAGCGTGCGCCCCACAGGCTCCAGCGGCCAGGACAGACGGCCCACTGCTACTCCAGCTGGTCCAGCTACACTCGTGTCGTGTCTGCTCTTGATTCTTTTTGTGCTGATTCTGATCGCCGTGAGGACGCCCGGAGGATCTCTCACACCTTGCACGCCTACGCTGGGGTTGTCTTGGTGTCGGCCTGCTTCTCGTGCGCATTTCACCCAGGGTCTGAGGCGCCACATGGATACACGCGTGTAGGCCAGCTAGTCGGATGCACGCGTGTATGTGGAGCCTTCGGCCGCCTGAGGCCCCGCCCGCCCGCGCCCTGTCTCCCAAATTAGGGCTACCCGCGTCCCGTTTAGCTCTTGACAAGAAGGGGCCCGCTCCCGACCCGCAGACCAAAAAGTGTATGTGGAGCCTTTCCTGGGGCCGCAGTGGGTTTCGCGCTGCAGGTGAACAACAACGGGAGCGACGCTCTGGAAGCACGCCTTTGGTCATTAGGGCGCCCAGATTTGTTGGAATGGCTTCGCCGTGACCCTCAATGTTCTGCTTTGTTTTCCCTCTACTCGTCTTTCTTCTCTCTTCCTCCTGCTCCTCCTTCCTGTGCTTGCCTGCTCGCCCGCTTCCCCTTTCAGGCCACGGTTCACTATACGTGTTTGCCTGTTGCAGGTCGACTCGTGTGGCGTTCCTTGTTTGTCTGGCGACCATTCGATTCGCAGAGTGGTGGACATGTGGTTCTGGTGTCGCGATCTGCTTCTCTAACAAAAACGGTGAGCAGCAACGGGTACACTCATATAGTCTGCGGCCGTCATGGGCCTGAGACCGAGGCCACATGAAACGAGATATTATGAATTTGCCTTTCATGCAAGTGTTCTGACACATGCTGCACTAGTTTTGTTGACCTCTTCTGCAGCCTCAGCGGCATGCAGCATGCTAATCTGCAGCAGGTCACTGCGCCTCGGCACCATGATTCAGAATGACTTTTTGGTCTCAAGCGACCCACCCGACCAACGCGATCGGGATGGAGCTGGGGCCTTGTTGGGCCATCCAGAACCGGCTTGGGATGAAAACAGCGAAGATGTAGGAATCAAATCAGATATCCAATGACTTCACTAATCCTTGTTTTGAGGTGAGCACTTACTGGCTCGCCTGCGCCTCGTCTTTCATCCTTCGTCCTTTCTTCTTCTTTTGCGCTCCCTCTGCTATCTCGCTTCCTCTCTCTCGCTCCCCCAGGGGGCTGCCAGCCATGCAACTATCGCAGGTTGCTGTGCCCCTTGGGGGGCGGGTCCACTGGAGTGACGCGCTACACAGGCTCAAACAAGATCTCACCTTGGTTGCTGCCGACAGTGCAATTGTCGCCGTCTTGCTGTTCCCCCAGGAGGTTCAGCGGAGTGACGCTCTGCGCAGGCCCAGAAGAGACATCGTCTTCTAGGGTTCTGCCAATCGTACAACTGTCGCGGCTTTCTTGTGACCTGGGGCAGGACTTAAGAATTGGCGTATCTTACTATTTGTTGGATGCTGCCTTGTCGCCGCTGCCACCGCCGCTCTTTCTAGCTTTCTGGCTCAGCGTGCTCCACCAGGTGTGGGCTCCACGGCCCGCATAGAGCATAGTGCTGCGACCTCTCCAGGAGCCGTCGCACTTCTGCAGCGCGGAGCATACGAGGATCTTTCTCACAGCCCGTTTCTCCTTTCGCCTATGCCTTTGCCTGTTCCTGGATAAGGTTCATCGCTTCATCATGGAGGGCCCTTGCCTTCTGCTGCAGAGAGCGGTGCAGGAACGCCTTTGTGCCCACGAGATATTTTCTCAGGGCCACTTGGGAAGGTAGGGGGGTGATACTTCTCTCGGGGGGCTGGGTGGTGTTACGGCATCCCAGCAACTGAGGGGCCAGAGGGGAATGCCCCCAGCTGCCGAACTGAATTCGCCCGACGGCTAGTCTGGCTGGTGTGGCTGAGTGGGGCATCTGTCGCGGCGGTCACCTCTGGTTGCCGTCTCTGCCACTGCCCTTCACGTTTCGATTTTTTCCCCTTAGAATTGTGGAGCACCCCTCGACCCAGCTAGCGGGTGGCCCAGCTAGCGGGTGGCCCGTCCAGGTTTCGGGGGCGGGGGGGCGCGCGCTTGGCTTGGCCCGTGCCCCTCGGTCTCGGCAGCACGGGGCGTACGCGTCCACGGTCCGTCGTGGGGGGGGGGGCGTACATGCTGCACTATCTGGTCGTGCGTAAACGACCGCAAGTGGTACCCCAGATATCCGACTATGCGGTATCTTTTTCCATCTGCGGCCTCAGAGAGGTCCTGGGCCGTTCCCCCCTCGGAGACCGACATAACATAAACGGCGGGAGTTCGAACATCCATCCGCCCAGAATCTAGGTAAAACGCAGCCTCTCCACTTAGGACGTGTGCGAGCCCGAGAACGCTCTGGGGGCCACTGGCCGCTCGTGCGTTCGCCCTCCAGATAGCCGAGGTGCCGCCTGCAGGAGCAGCAACGGCGCCACAGTGCACGCGCGAAGGGGGTCTGGCCAGCACGGGTCAACTTGCCGAGCCGCCCGCTCAAAGTCTTTGTGGCTGCGTGCCGCTGCGGACTCAACTGGCTGGTCTTGTCAGACGTCTTCGGATGCTCAATTGCATTCGGGAGGCGACACGGATCTGCAAGGTCATAATGTCAGGTCCTGTATGCCCACGAGGGGCGCTGTCCTGTGCGCGCCGCAACACGTATCTTTGGCTGTCACCTTCCAGTCGCCGATCCCGAAGTCATTGCAAAACGACTGGACGTCGTATGTCGTATTCTCATCACTTGCCTGGTCGTCGTTGGGACATTTTCCTGGGAGGTGGCCGTCCGAGAACATGTGATAGCAATCCGTCGGCAGGCAGATTGGCGATGTATTCAGCAGAGCTCAAATAATGAGAGGACAGATGCGACCACAACTTATCTTGAGTTTCTTACATGTTTTCGCACACGCGTGCGTGCCAAGTATGCAACATCTCATGCACGTTGGGGCAGTTCAGAGTGACGTGCAACCAGGAAACGTCACGAGCTCAACCAACGGGTCACCAGGTTCCTCGACCCCATCCTCCTGGGGCATGGCTCGAGCTGGATCGGGGGGGGTCCGGGGCCCAACGCTGAGAGAGCAACACAAAATGAACGACAGGTCTTTGGGCCATTTTGGGACCATCTTAAGGCCTCAGAGTCTTATCGTAAGCGAAAAAGAAGGCACAACACATGGATTTTCCATGTTTTTTGGTTTAAAAAGGATTTTGGCCTCTTGGAGGGTGCCTGAGAAGGCTCGAATGGCATTTGAAACCGTCTTGAGGCTGTCCTGGGGCCTCCTGGAGGTATGTCGGCGGCTATCTTGAGCCATCTTTGGCCAACTTCAGCCATCTTGGAGGCCGTCGTGGGCTGCCGAGGGTCCTCTTGGAACCATCTAGGTCCATCTTGGACGCTCTAACTACCCGGGCCCCTCCCCTCCCAGGCCCAAGGGAGGGGGTAGCGGGAGGGGTCAAGACCCTCCCCGCCCGCAAGCCGTCTCGCTGATTCCCACCCACGCTCCCAACACATGAGTAGCACCCGTGTCGCAGCGTATTCAGCGGTAGTCTGTGGATGGACAGCTAATGGGAACCGAAACAGACCCCATGTGCGAAACGCTAGGGCGAGGTGCGCCAGGCGTGCCAGGCGCGCCACGCGCGCCAGGTTCGCCAGGCACCCCTGTGGCCCAAGCGTGCCGGGCACGCCTGGTGCGCTAGAGGCGCCACGTGATCCACGTGCGCCATGTGTGCCGCATGCTCCAGCCGCGTCAGGTGCGGTACGTTCGGGGGCCGCGCAGAGTGTGCCAGGTGCGCCTGCGCACGTGGCAGGACACATCGTGAAACGTGTCGGCCCCCACCACCCTTGTCGAAAACCAGGGCGCAATCGCGGCAGGGTGGCGTTAATAGCGTCTGGTGGGCCTGCACATGGCAGGCAATCCCAGTCAAAACCAATGCACGGTGATCGCGGGGTGCCTGCGCATGATCCAGATTTCGCCTCGAAGTGCATTTTGGATTGTTTTTGTTAGGGATGCTGGCCCTGCGGGCAGCAGGCAACATGCGGACACCCCCGCCATCATTGTCAAACAACGGTACAGAGTGCTCGCGCCCCCCCGATCATGACCCAAGATTTTTGCCCCAAAGTGGATTCACATTATTTTTTGACAGGGATGGTGGGATGTGTGTGCCCTCATTGGTCCTGGTTGGCTGCCCGTCGCCTGGGGGAGGGGGCGTTTATTTATAGGGAGCAGTGATAAACCCTTCCTCCGAGCAGGGGAGGGAGAGGGAGAGAAGACAAAACTCGTCAAACCACCTACGCCCAGAGGGCTGGTGGGATTAAGTCGCCAGGTGTTTGGGTATTTTGCCGTCTCCCCCCCGCCGGCTACGAATCAGGACGGCCCGCGGATGTGGGGGCGAAGCGGCCGCGGTCGCCGATGCCGGTCTGCGCGCGGGGTGGGTGTCTGCGCGTTGAGTCCAGGCGCGCGAGAGGAGGCCAGCGCTGGCGCTGTTCTCCCCCCCCGGGCTGGCGTAAGGCGGAAGCTGTTGAAGCCTGAGGGCCGAACTTGGAGGATCGAAGTTTTCAGGCACTTTTGCCACTTTGGAGGAACTTTGGAGGATCGACTTTGGGGGGGCGTCGAGGCTCCGATGAGGACAAGGTACCCCTGCCCTTTGCCCGCTTTCCCCCCCTCTCCCGCCACCTGGGAGGCCCTCGTCGCCACCGCTGGATTCGCCACGAAGTCCTCAGTCCTTTGGAGGAACTTGAAGGATCGAAGTTTTGGAACTTTGGAGGAACTTGGCCTCCTGGTGGGCTGTCGTCGCCACGGCTGGATACGCTTCGGAATTCTGGCCAGAGCACCCCCTGGACAGGTCCAGGGGCCGATTTTTGATCCCCGTGCCCGCGCCCCGTTCGCGTCGTGACATTGCGGCGGACGGTCTTCGTACAATTTTTGGTCGGGAGCCTTTACAGTGCCGTTTTTAATATATGCTCCGCGTGCGGATCATGTATGACAAATGCAGGGATTTTGTATGAGTTCATGCATCATTTCATTCATCAATAAACCATGTTTTAAACAATCCAATATTTTTCAACATCCTATGTATTGAAAACTGCCCTGTACTGGTCCCCAGGAAAACGACTCGGCATGGAACAGCTGGTCCCCGTGAAGGGGTCCAGTCGTCCGGGGGCCACGTCGACGTCGGGGGTGTTGGAGGGCAGTGAGTGCCAGGGATACTGCTGATGTTTTGCGTTGGGGCTTATGGGCCCTGCGACGTACGTCCTCAGCTTTGTCTTCCCGTGTAGCATCTTCCTGTTTTTTTCCGCATAGGTCGACCTCAGCGGTTATGTCCCTGTCTCTCTGGAACCAGCACCTCTGGAACCAGCACCTCTGCCCCGGAGGCTCACCAAAAAGGAATCAGCACCTCAGGAGGGGACCTCCGTGGCAGGCCAGAAAGGGGTCCTTGCCCGCAAGGCCATCTCCTTTGGCAACGGGCCTCGCAGACCGCACGAACTCGGCCACCTGCCGGGCAGGATGAGTGAGGATGAGGAGGAGGAGGAGGAGGAGGAGGAGGAGGAGGAGGAGGAGGAGGAGAAGGAAGAGGATGGCGGATTCGGTGCCAGGCGGCCTCGACACGTGTCCCTTTCGCTCTTTTGCTGGCTTTCTCGATATCCCTTTCTCTGTCTCTCAGCTTGCTCTATTTGTCATCCCTGGGCTTGCTTTTGCCATTGGGGTGAGCACGCGCGGCAGTTCGCTTTGAGGTTTCCGCTCGACTTTCCGAGACAGTTGTCGATCCGAGCCGTTGGCGGTCAACATCCTCGAGTGCAGGTCAGCCGTTACCTCCAGGGTCCTTGCTCTTCGCGCGCGCTTTCCGTTCCGTCTCCACGAGCGACGTGCATATCCATGTTCATGCCTTCGCGGTCTAGACACCGAGGCGTGATCTCATGGATACGTGATCCCATCGGTACGTTCTGCGCGGGGCATCCGCGCAAAGCCGCCCCCCTTTGTCCATGGCGCCGCGGCCAAGGACTCTAGACCCCAGCGCCGTGGAGAGTAACATGTCTCCCACCTTCCGTTTTTCGCTTGAAAAGGGGCAGTGACCAGAGTGGCCGCTATTGTCATCGTGGCCTATGTAACATGCACGTTTATGTTCCACCTGCTCGCCTTTGGAAACCTGCCCACAGTGGCGCCAGGATGTAAGGGAGAAAAGAGATGGATCTGTTTCCGCGAGCGCTGCTTCCTTCTGCTTCCAATCGAGAGCAGGTCTACGAGTTGGGCGGCGTGCCTGTGGAGTTCCCTTATGAGGCGTACGAGTGCCAGCTCGCCTACATGCGCGCCGTGATCCAGGCGTGCGAGCGACTGAGGAGGGACGGGGAGGGGGAGGGCGGGAGGTATGTAAACAGGGAGCGAGAGCGATGATGAGGATGAGAGGGAGACGGAGGATGAGGAGGTGGAGGTGGATGCGCGCCTCGGAATCCAAACCGCGAGGGAATTTACATGAATATGTTCGCCGCGCGCGAGAGTGGCAGGGGATGCGTGACTCAGCACGTCCAACAGTACCATCCAGCGGTGCCCGTCAGTTTCCTGCCAGCGCAAACACAACAACAGCGCCAGCCTCTGGCACACGCCGTACCGCGTCCCAGAGGCGTCAGATTTTCTTCGTCTTGCTCCTTGTCCCCGTCTGCTCTGCGTTGCCTTCTTCGTGTCCGCGGCCTTTGCCCAGAGTTGGTTCTCGACGGGTCGCGCAACATCTTGACGGCGGCTCAACGCAAACATGGAACAGGCAAGGAAGACCATTTTTACCAGGTGGGTCACGAGGGGGAGACGTGGCCAGGACCAACGCGATGGGAATGTCTGTGGGGCCGATTCCGGTCGGATGTCTGCCGTGAGGGAGGGAAATCAGCAAACCTGTGACAAGATAAGAATGACGAGGATGAGGCGAAGGAGGCGGAGGCGGAGGAGGAGGCGGAGGAGGAGGCGGAGGAGCCCTACGTACGGATCTTCAACATAGTTGCATTCTTTAAGACAAACTCGCGCGGCTCTGAAGCGATAGCTACAGTTTGAAACGGAGCCGCCCTCCAACTTTGAACATGTTTTATACTGTAGACGAATCTGCGCGGCGCGCGAGAGCCGCATTTTGAGATCGACCCGCCCTCAATCCTTGAAGTGGTTGCACGCTTTTAAGAAGAACGAGCTCGTCGCAATGGCGAGAACAACTTGTTAAACCCGACCCGCTCTGCATTTTTGGCGTTATGGCAAACTTTGAAGACAATGGTGTGCGGCGCAACGGCGAATCAACGAGACATTTTGAAAACCACACGCCCTCCATCTTTGAGACTGTTGCAAGCTTTTAATACGAATGTGCGCGGCGCTCAGGCGAAAGCAGCTTTTTGAAAACTACCCTTCCTCTATCCATGAAAATGTGGCAAAAGTTTGAGACGAGTATGCGCGGCGCAAACGCGAGAATAACATTGTGAAAACGACCGCCCCTCATTTTTGAAACTGAAGCTGTTTTGCATATTTTACATGTTTCGCGTAATCCCACCAATCCACCTCGCCAGCCTCTCTCCCACGCGCACTGCTGCTGCCTGGAATTCGTACATTGCGTCCGTCGCCCCGTACCCTGCGCACTACTTCTCACCAGATGACCGCATCGAGCGGGATCTCCGTGCGCAACTCCGGGTTAGGTTTGGGATGGCCGGTGCCACCTGGATCCACGACTACACAATCACCAGGACTGCGATTCTCTTCCAGGTACCGGGATCTCCCACATGTCCGGCTGCACTGGCGCGCGCGGTGGCAGCACGCGGGCACGTCATGGACGACATTTTTGGCCCTGCGCCAGCGCAGAGACGGGCTCGGCTCCGCTGGAATCGCACTGTAGGGTGGGCGCGAAACTACCCCACACACTGCACGCCCCCTCGCCCTGGCTCTCGAGTCATGACAGCAGGCAAGGCCGCTGCTATCATGCTACAGGTACACGGCAGCCCAGCCCTCTGCCATGGCAAGAATGTTGCGCGCGCGGTTTGCACAGCTGCCTGGCACCAGCTACACGGACCCCCGATGCAGAAATGGCTAAGGCAAACCAGCGCTGACCGCAGGTGGGCAGCAGGCATTGGTGTTGATTGGAACCTACTTCACCACGTCCCCTCCTTCACAGCTGCGGTTCAAGTGCTCCGCTTCCTCTCCAACAGGATGCTAGGATCAGCGAGACGAAGGGGCGCCGCAGACAGACTCACGCACGTCTGCTGCAACTGCCACCAAGCAGCACACAGGACTTGGCACACTGCCAGCTCCCAACAGCACGGCCACGCCTGGTGCTACATTTGCGTCGGAGAATGGTCCAATCAGATCGCCCTCTGGGCCTCGCTCCCGAACGACCTGCTGCCGCAGGAGCTCCACCGGGCAGCGCGCGCCATCAGGGGCGACAGGACCACCTGCCTGCAGATTCCGCACACCTCTGGCCCTTATGAGGTTTGTCCACTGTGTGGCTCAGACGAGGCAACTACGGAACACCTGTGGACATGGCGCACCGCAGTCGCAATGGCCTGGGACCGGGTCAGGCAGGAGGGAGAGCCGCTGGATCTGGGAAGAGCTGTCATGGCAACTGGGCCACACCAGCAGATGGCAGCTAGAGTTGTGCATCCGATCTCCTGTCGGTACTGCACTGACCGTACGCTCACCCCCTAATTCCACAGGAAGGTGCGACATTGATCGTACTTGGCCTTGAAATCCCTGATCACATAGAACAGGCCGAAGAGTATGAAGGTATACCTCCACCGGCGCGTGAAGGCCAGGATGCTGACACTGTAGTCTGGGCTCCTACAGAAGATTACTGCGCTGCGTGTAACCCCAATCCTCTGCCCCGCCGCGCGATGCACGGCTCAGCCGCTCCGCGCGCCAACCGCGCTGCAGATCGGGCCGGAGGCGAGATCAGGAGGTTGTCTGTCCTAAGCCGCGCAGTCGCCTGTGGCGAGCACCATGCTACCCTGCGCGCACATCATCCCAGAGCGGGCTGGATTTTACCTGGGCCTGGCTGGTTCCCACGCCTGCGCGCTGATCCCATGCCTGCAGCCGAATGGGCGCGCTGGTACTGCCGCCCGTGCGACACCCGCGTCGCCGCACTCCGTGCCGCGCAAAACCTCGAGCGGGGAGTTGAGGTCACTGCCAACCACTCTCCCTTCCCTAACCCCGACTCCACCTTGTGGCCGTACGAGGTCACCTTTGACGGCGGTGCGCGCGCATTCGGAGAGCGCGAGGTCGCTGGCGGTGGCGCCCGTATACCGGCACACGTTGTCGCCGACACGCGTTCTGAGGATCCTCGACCAGGCGGGGTCCCTCGCGCTCCCTCGGGCCGCTCCCGACCGCCTCCCCCTCAGGGGCAACGTCAGGGGGGGGGATGCGCTCAGGGGGGGGGCGCATCGACCCCCCCTTGTGGCATCGCTCAGGGGGGATGCCTCTGTCCTCGGCGAGGGCCATCGCTCGGAGCAGACCGGATCCTCTCACGAAGGAAGGCGCGCACGGAGTCGAACACTGCACGGGGAACGGGCGCCCGAGCGATGGCGAGCCCCGGTGGCCCATCCATCGCCCACAGGGGCCCGACAGCCCCCCCCGCCCCGGAGCGCGCGGTCCGGCTATCGAGAGCCTGGCGCCGACCTGTCGGCGAGACGTCGCCGATGGTTGAGGTCGACGTCCCCGCCCACCCCTTGACCTTGCAGAGTGCAAAAAACAGAGCACTCCACAGACGTACCGCAGCACGGCGAGGAGTGCGCTCAACTCGCCGCCGTTGATGTCCATGAAGGCCTCCACCATCATGCCAGAGACGCCCACGCGGAAGACCTCGCAGTTCGCCATCAGCGCGACCACGGCCCAGCCCACGCTGGTGTACTTCGTGAACTCGCCCTCGAACGCGGAGCCTTCCAAGAACAGCTCGCCTGACGGTAGGGTCCCGTCGGAGTCGCCGAGCCAGCACAGGTTGTCAGACCTGGGCGGCATGCAGATGCCGCGAGGCGCCGGCCACAGCGCACGCTCCAGCAGACACTTCACCTCCGGAAGATCATCAGCACGCTGCCGAAGAGCACGGATGCGAGAGGGCAGCTGAAGCTCGGCAGGCCAGCCAGGACAATCGCAGTGCCTGTGCAGCAGCGTGCCGTACTCGCCGCACAGCAGGCAGTCGCTGTCGGGCGCCGCCCCCGTGGAGAACTTCCGCGCCTGGGGCCACTGCCCGTCGGCAACCACGGAGGCCAAGTAGCCGCGCTCCTTCGCCCTGAGCCGGACCACCGTGCCAGCAGCAGCAGGAGGGTCCTCCCCAGGAAGGCCGTCTGGTACCCGATGCCCTTCTCCAACGGCGCCAGCGAGGGCGCCGAGGCCGCCAGGCCCGCCGCCGAGGCCGCAGGGGGGGCCGCCGGGCGGCCCAGGAACCAGAGGTACATAAGAAACACTAAGTACCTCTGGATTTGGCGCGCCGCGCGGGCCGCCAGGGGCCGCCGGGCGAGCCGCCAGGGCTGCCGGCGGGCCGTCCGAGGCTGCAGAGGAGGCCGCCGGGCGCGCCTGCTGGGGGCCATCACCCCCGCCAGCAGGTTGAACGTGCGCCCCGAACACGCCCTTGCGGCTCACCGAGCCCGTGGTCGTCATGCGCACGAGCGGCTCCAGCGCGCCGCCGCCGGCCAGGTGCTCCAGCTCGGGGCGTTTGGCGACCTGCTGCCACTGCCAAGCCTCGACTGCACGCCAAAGCAACCGCTTCGCCATCCAGGGGGGGACGTCGAAAACCCTCAGCAGCACGCCCTCATGCGTGCGCCAGGTAGCGGCGTCCACGATCTCCCAGCCGACGCGCGCCAGCGACATGCGAACGGCCGAAAACGGACCGCGAACCTGCTGCCAAGAGCCCGCGTCGCACTGCACCAGGCCGAACGCGAGGATGTGGGAAGGCAGCCACGACTCCCAGGCCGCGCGCAGCATAGCCATCGCAGGCAGCAGCGTAGCCCGGTAGATCGGGTCAAGGAACCTCGTCATCATGAGGGTGAGCGTCCTCGAACGCCCGGCAACGTTCGGCGCCGCGGCGGCGAAAACGAGGGAGCGCAGCTTGTCCAACTCCCCCACGGCGCAGCCGTTGCGCTGAAGCCATAAGAGGCCTCCAAGCCCGACCTGGCGACCTTCCTGGCGGCCTGCTTCCGCCCCCTGCCAACCTTCAGGATGTTGACGCGACGGATCCTCAAGCCGGCCTGCGCCAGTTTCTCCTGCCGCACCCTGCGCACGATGCGCTTGCCACTCGAGAAGTCTACGCCGAGGTTGCGCTCCCCTCGCGCTGCTTGGACCCCCAGCGGTCGTCGCAGCCGTCGCTCGAGCTC